CAGCTGGCTTCACCTAGTGGATCCCACACTGGGGCTGCAGGCGGAGCTGCCCACCAGTCTGGAGCCAGGCCTACGCTCCTCAGCCCTTGGGCGGTCGATGGGACCGGGCGCCATGGGGCAGGTGGCAGTGCCCGTCAGGGAGGCTCGGGCTGCGCGGGAGCCTACTGTGGAGGCAGAGCTTGGACATGGCGGGCTGTAGGTCCTGAGCCCTGCCCCGTGAGGAGACAGCTGAGGCCCAGCGAGAATTCGAGCACAGCCCTGGCAGTCTGGCAGTGCTGGGGGACCTGGCGCACCCTCTGCAGCTGCCGGCCCAGGTGCTAAGCACCTCACTGCCGTGGGCCGGTGGCGCTGGCCGGCCGGCCGCTCCCAGTGTGGGGCCCACAGAGCCTGCACCTGCCAGAACTTGCGCTGCCCTATGAGCACTGTGTGCAGCCCCGCTTTGCGCCTGCACCTCTCACTCCGCACCTCCCTGCAAGCAGAGGGAACCGGCTCTGGCCTCGGCCAGCTCAGAGAGGGGCTCCCACAGTGCAGTGGCGGGCTGAAGGGCTCCTCCAGTGCTGCCAGAGTGGATGCCGAGGCCGAGGAGGTGCCAAGAGTGAAGGCTGCTAGCACATAGTCACCTCTCAATCCCTCCTCTAAAGAGGACACCCCAGCTGCTGTTGGGAATTTGGCCGATGACCACTCTAGCTACTTCCTGCTGGATAGGTGCAATGAAGGGACCCTGCAGTTGTAGGGTCCCCCAGAGGGGAGCTCTCTAGGCCAGTGAAAGTGCCAGTGGGTCGGTCCAGGGGTCCTCGGTAGAAGTTGTTGAGCTCATTTGGGGTTCCATTTGTAAGACCATCTGTGTAGCTTGACGACCTTGATTTTAGAAGAAACAAATTTGACAAGAAGGTTAAAGATACAGGGCCCAAAGGTGAGTAACAGCAAGATGGCTGCCACGGGACCTAGAAAGGGGCGAAGCCATGTTGCCTAACTCCAGAGATTGGTATAAGAATTTGAAAGGCGTTGTCTGATTTCAGAAGCCTTTTCCTGTTAACACCAGGCAGCATCTGAAGCTATCCCTGACTAGTTAGTGTAAAAACAACACTCTTCCCCTAAGAAGGTGCAGAGTCCTCCTTTCTCAGCAGTGAGGAGGTCTAGCCCTCGGCGGTTTTGGAGAGTCCCTGCTGCTAGAGTCTATCTGAGATTGTAAAGCAAGGATAGATACCGTTATTTCTTGCAAACTGTTTGAGAAATCCTTTGAGAGTGTGTGGTAGTACGATAATGAAGTAGATAAACCCGCTATCCCAGTTCCTGTAGCAGCAGCCATTCCTAACCCTATAAGTAGGGGTACTAGTTGTATGGCTCTGTGCTGACGGAGTTAAGCTTTGAGGGGTACTGATAAGGTGTGATTTCCTGGGGCAATATTAATGTTGGGACTTAGAAAGACTAAAGTGCAGGTGCCTGTCCAGTTAGTGGGGAGGCAGATATAGGTCGATGTTCTACATAAGAATATAACTTGGCTGGGTAGATAGAACTGGTTATGTATGTTAAAAAGGTGTGTGAGTTTGTTGTTTTCATTTTACCATCCTCCTAGAGTACTTGTCAAGGTAGCTCTGGTGAGTGGCTGGAAAGGGGTGTTGGGAGCAAACTGAGTGGCTCCCTGTGTTCTGTTTTCCTATTGGAGAAAAAAACATTTTGTTTCTACTAGGAACTTTCGAGAGAGTGATTGAAAGAGCGGATAAGAAGGCATTCACTAGTGTTGGGGACACTGCTGCAGGGGGTCCAAGGGTGAATAGTCATGCAGGGAGTATGTTTGCCATTACAAAACTGGACTGTTTGTTAAGCAGGGAGGAGGTGATGATTTTGTGGGGCCCTGAGAAGCAGACTAGCCGTCTGAATGGAGCTGTTTGGGTGACTCGGAAGTTACTATGATCAGTTGGGGTTTTTGAAGGAATAGGGTACTCTGTTGTTTCTTTACTACTTCCATCTCTCTTTCTTCCTCTTTGACTTCTTTGTCTCTCTTTTTCTGACTCTGTCTTTCTTTGACTGTCTCTCTGTCTCTTCCTCTGTCTCCTTCTCTCTGTCTCTCCTGTTCTTCCTCTCTCTTTCTCTGACTTCCTGTCTCTTTCTCTCTTTCCTTTCTGCTGGTCTTTCCCTGCCTCTGCCAGCCGTGTATGCTGCTGTTCTCCTTTCTCTTTCCCCTTTTTGATGGCTTTGGCAGTATAAGACTGTCACCTTCTTTGGTTTTTGCACTGCACGCAGTAACTCCATGATTTCCTTGTGGTATTTAATAGGGGTTCCTGGAGGTTAGGAATTCCTTCTTTCCATATTGCAGCATGGGCGTGTAGGATTAGATAACCATACTTGGTGTCTGTATACACATTTATTCTTTTTCCCTTTCCCAGTTCTAAGGCTCGGGTAGGTGCCACTAGTTCTGCTAATTGGGCACTGGTCCCTGGGGGAAGAGGCTTAGTGATATTTAGGTACGGTTACATCACTAACTATGGCGAGTTCATGGTCTCGCTGGCTTCAGGAGTGAAGCTGCAGACCTTCGCTGTGTTATAGCTTATAGAGGCAGCATGGACCCAAACAGTGAACAGCAGCAAGATTTATTTTTAAAGAGTGAAAGAACAAAGCTTCCACCGTGTGGAAGAGGAGTTGCTGCTGGCTGGCTCAGGCAGCCTGCTTTTATTCCCTTATCTGACCCCACCCACATCCTGCTGATTGGTCCGTTTTACAGAGAGCTGATCCACCGTTTTGACAGTGTGCTGATTGTTGCATTTATAATCCCTGAGCTAGACACAGAGTGCTGATTGGTGCATTTACAATCCTCTAGCTAGACATAAAAGTTCTCTAAGTCCCCACTAGACTCAGGAGCCCAGCTGGCTTCACCTAGTGGATCCCACACTGGGGCTGCAGGCGGAGCTGCCCACCAGTCTGGAGCCAGGCCTACGCTCCTCAGCCCTTGGGCGGTTGATGGGACCAGGCGCCATGGAGCAGGGGGCGGTACCCGTCATGGGCGCTGGGGCTGTGTGGGAGCTCACCGCGGAGGCAGGGCTCGGACATGGTGGGCTGTAGGTCCTGAGCCCTGTCCCATGGGGAGGCAGCTGAGGCCCGGCGAGAATTCGAGTGCAGCGCCAGCAGGCTGGCACTGCTGGGGGACCCGGCGCACCCTCTGCAGCTGCTGGCCCAGGTGCTAAGCCCCTCACTGCCCTGGGCTGGTGGTGCAGGCCAGGCGCTCTGAGTGTGGGGCCCACCGAGCCTGCGCCAGTCAGAACTCACACTGGCCTGTGAGCACGGTTCCCGCCTGCGCCTGTCCCTGTCCCTCCACACCCCGGCGCAAGCAGAGGGAGCGGGCTCCGGCGTCGGCCAGCCCAGAGAGGGGCTCCTGCAATGCAGTGGCGGGCTGAAGGGCTCCTCAAGCACTGCCAGATTGGATGCGGTGGCCGAGGAGGCGCTGAGAGCGGGGGCTGCTAGCACATTGTCACCTCTCAGTTTGATATTAGCAAAAGTATAGGGCTCTTGGTGTGGCTCAAAGCTTCACAAAATTTAAACTCATTACTGAGTTGTTCAATGTGTTGGTCTTGTTGAATTTAATTCTCATGTCTGTGGCTTTGTCATCTTGCATCAACTTAAAAAAAAGCAAAACATTGCCCCGAAGTACAGTTTAATTGTAATACTGCAAGAGGGTCCTTTGAGTTAGAAGCTCCCTGGTGGATATTTCCTGAGAACAGGGAGTTTGAGGTGTGCTGTCTAGCTCACATGGTTTCTTGAGACTAACGAAGATCAAGTAGTTTCAGCAACTTCTGCGTGTTGGCAACGTGCATGTTAACTTTTCTAGTCAAATATTTGTAGGAAGATATTTTTGAAATATGGGGTAGTAAAGATATGAAAATGTTAATAGTGGTGGGTAATTACTTTCATAGGCTTTAAAAAATTTTCTAAATGGTACTTAATAACCTGTATTTATTGAAGTATTCATAGAAACACAAATTTTCAAAATTTAATCCTTCTTAAGTTGTAAATAAACAGGATTATCATAAGAAGTTATTATCAGTATTTTGATAAAAAATTTCAAGTTGACTCTAGATATCCCTTGATATAGCGTTTCTCATTCAGGTCTGATTTTAAGACTTATCTGGGGATATTGCTGAAAAATTGAGCTTCTTAGGCCACTTCTCTGGGGGAGGCTTGGTTAACTGGATATGGGATAGGATCCTATATCTGTATTTTTGACAAGTGACCTGAGGATCAGGCAGGTTTGGAAAATAACACATAACTGATTTGTAACTTAAAGTACAAGTTGAGGCTGCAAATGGTATTGTTAAATATATATAATTTTAATTAATTTTATAGAAAAATTGAATTTGTCTTTGAGATTTCCATTTCCATTTTTCACTGTTGTAGAGTTTGACAGGGGATATGGAATAACCTGATTAGTTATCTTCTTAGAACAAAGGTACACATTAGGTGTTGATTGTAAATAAATTGTGGATTTGTTGAAATAAAGCTGTGATATCGTCAGTGTCTGAAAGACGGAGATTGTATGTATCTACCTTAAAACGTTTCTTGTGAGTCTGAATGGGTGTGAAAGTGCCTGAATCTGAAAAGAACTCTGTGTTCGTTGTTATTACCATCACTGAGTCTAACTATGTGGTATGAAATCAAAGACTTAAGAAAATACATAGCCATGCTTGAGAAGGTACAAACACAGATTTTCTAATCAAGTCATAAGTTTTACTGATATGTACACATTTTCTTCTCTTTCTGGTTCAGCCTTTTAAATGAAGATATGTAGCCTTTTGTGCTATGCTAGAAAATGGTGTTTCTTTACAGGAAAACAGTTAAAATGTAACTTTTTTCTGTTAAGAAATTCCAACCTTGTTCTTTATGCAGTAGTATACAGAATTACTTAGGCAGCATTTTAAAAACCACCAGTGCCAGACCCTGTTTCCAGATTCTGATTTAATAGGTCTTGTGTGGCACCTCTACCAGAGCTGAGAACCTCTGCCTTAGACTGTTGCCATTTGTGAGAGATGTGATCAGATTTTTGCAAATCAGAAATTTCGTAGGCCATTTGATATAAGCATAGTAACTCATAATTGAATTCATAGTGAGAGAAAACAAAGCTGCATAGTGATGAGATAATGAAGTGGCCCGGTTTAGTGACTCACCCTGACTTCATACGTACTTTAGTACCCAGTGACTTTTAGACTATTATTTTGAAAATAAATCACGATGAAAAACAATTTTTTTTGTAATATAAGGTGTTTTCTTTTTTCCTTTTTGGCTCCAACATGCAACCTAACAAGAAAGACCAGACTTGATCCTCCATTTTAGCTTGTATAATGTGGAACCGAGATAATGTAGATAGTGATACTAGGCTGTGAATATCAGCATGATTTCCGGGTTTTTTTGAGGGGAAGGCAGGTCAATTTTTTTTGTTTTTTTTTTTTTGTTCGAGACAGAGTCTTGCTCTGTTCAGCCAGGTTGGAGTGAAGTAGCACAATCACCGCTTATTGCAACATCAAACTCCTGGGCTCATGCCATCCTCCCACCTCAGCCTCCCGAGTAGCTGAAACTTACAGGTAAATGCCACCATGTCCAGCTAATTTTTTATTTTTAGAGACGGGGTCTTGTTATGTTGACCAGGCTAGTCTTGAACTCCAGCCTCAAGCAATCCACCTACCTCAGCCTCCCAAAGTGCTGGGATTATAGATGGGAGCCACTGTGCCCATCTATGTATGTGTGTATGCATGTGTGAATATGTATGTATATATACATACACAGAGCAGTGGGGTTGCTGGATCATGGTAGTTCTATTTTCAGTTTTTTGAGGAATCTCTATACTGTTTATTTATAGTGGTTGTAATTTATGTTCCTACTGTCAGTGTATGAGTGTTTCCTTTTCTGTCTTTGCCAGGATTTATTGTTTTTTGCCTTTTTGATAATAACCGTTTTAACTGAGTGAGATGTTATCTCATTGCGGTTTTAATGTGCATTTCCCTGATGATTAGTGATGTTGACCATTTTCATATACATCTTGGCCATTATGATTTCTTTTTCGGTTTGAAACACCATACAGGTAGTTTGGGTTGGGGATTAATTTAAAAGTACTTAAAGATCTTTTCCCTTTCTGCTAGCATTTGTGGCATTTTTATTATGTTTGAGGATAAGGAAATATTTTGTTTGTCCCAAAGGGATTTTGTTCTAGGGGTATATGTGTAGCCTATGAAGAAAATTTTAGAAGATATATTTATGTGTGTTATCTGAGGAGGGGATTTTAATATCCGATGGAAAAACTCTTTCCCAATCTATAGTATAGTTTACCTTCAAGGTTATAAAGTTCTATTTAAAATAATGGTGCCCTAAGTAAGGGAGAAATCAGTTTTCCAAAATCTTTATCATAGCAATTTGGATTTTCAATTTTATTTGCTTTAAAATAGAACAGTAAGTGACCGTGTTACTGAGTAAATTCCTTGTTAGTTCCAAACCGAAATACTCACATAGGACTCTTATTTCTGTCTTACTCTGTTAGGTGTAAAGATTTCTCTCTGTGTTACTGGAATCCCTATTGGATGCTGCCCTCTGATGTTTGTGGAATGAACTGCTTTTGGGAAGCGGCTTTTAGGTAGGCACTTAATATTTAATTGGTAGATCAGTGTAGGTAAGGTTAGATAGTTGATAATAAAACCTTTGACTGTAATAGGATGTAAAAATGTTTCTTATGATATTATACAAATAATTTATTTTCTGATTGGGTTTTCCATTTTTCCCATTTTGTAGTTATCACTATTTTTTAGTACATACTGTGTATAAATGCTTTAAATTTTCTTAGATGTTAAGATAAGTCACTGTTCTTAAGAAAATTTATGATCTAACTTTTGGAAACAGTTGTTAAAATGATAAACTGGGATAAAAATAGGCTTCTACTGATATTTACAGATCTATATAATATATTACCACCTATAATATATAATATAATTATATATGATATAAATAATATATATAAGGCACATATCTAAATTAAAGCTGGTATACTGTAGTGGATAGGGACAACTGGAGAAGGATTATATTAGTTATTAGTAGAGAGGTCAAATATTGGGGAATAGGAGGATAAAGATAAGTATTTAATGGAGGAGCAAACGGAGGAGCAGCTTCTGGCTACTACTTCCTTTAATGTTTATTGACCTTTTAAGTTACTGACTAGTTTAGCTTTATTTGCTTCTCTGGATAATGAAGGTATTGGGTTGCCTGACCTCTTAGGTCCTTTCCTGCTCTTATCTTCAGTGAAAGAAACAAGTATTGATAAGAATAGGATAAGGCGGTGACTCTCAGACTGTCTCCTTGATACAGTGGCAGAGGGGAGTGGGACAAAGGGTTGAAATGCTCTTCCCAAGAGTAAAATTTATTTGAAGAGTGTCTACTTTTACTGCATCTTTATGATTCATTTAAATAGTCTAGGCTGGGTATGGTGGCTCACGCCTGTAATCTCAGCATTTTGGGAGACTGAGGTGGGAGCATTGCTTGAACCCAGGAGTTCAAGACCACCCAGGCAACAAAAGCAAGACCCTGTCTCTAAAATTAAAAAAAATTTTTTTTTTTAAATTTTAAAAATTAGCCAGGCATGTTGGCATGTGGGCTCAGGTGGGAGGATTGCTTGAGCCCTGGAGGTTGAGGTTGCAGTGAACTGTGATCATGCCACTGCACTTCGGCCCAGAGCAAGACTCTGTCTCAAAAAAACAAATAAAATAAATATTAATTCTCATTATATTTGCAACATGCTGTGCTAGGTGGTAAGCACCAGACTTTTGGGTCAGGTTAATGTGGCTCCATCCTTCTGGAGGATGGAGTTTACATTCTGGTGGGAGTTTCACACTAGTAAACCTGAAATTACAATACAGTGTGACAAGTTGTTGCTGTGATGAGTCATCTTAAGGCATCAGGGAAGACTTCCTGGAGGTAGTGACTAGATAATGATCTGGAAATTAGCTAGTTTCAAGGACAGTAGGTGAAGTGTTTCAGATAGGAAGAACTTCATTTTTAAAAACTCTTAATTAAAAAATTTATTTTTAATTGACAATAATTGTAGGAATTTATGGGGCATAAAGCAATGTTTTGGTGTCTGTATACATTGTGGACTGATTATATCAAGCTCATTAACATATTTATCATCTTACATATTTATCTTTTTTTTTGTAATGGGCACATTTGAAACCTTTTCTCTTAGCAGTTTTGAAATAAACATAATTATCTGTAGTCACCTTGCTGTGCAGTAGATCTTGAGAACTTATTCTTTCTCACTGGAAGTTTGTGTTGTATTCTTTGGTCAACATCTTTCCATCACCTACTCTCTCCCACCCCTTCACCTCCAGTGCCTGGTGACCACCATTCTACTCTCTGTAAGAACTGCATTTTAAATATCTATTAATTGTACATATTTTGTAAATTCTTGCATTCTCAATACAGTGTGCATCCCATGAAGAACTGGAAGGGAATAGGTTCAAATCAGATAGTTTAATTATATCCTGTTGCTGTGGAAGAGATTGGGTGATTGAAATTTTAATATGAGCCAAGTGATAATATTCCAATTTTTAAAAATTAACTTTTAAAGATAATCTAACCTTTCAGTTTGGTTGTAATTTTAGATAATTGAAGCTTTTTATGTTTTCATTCTTATGAATATTTGCAAATGAATATAGTATTGACAAGAGCCACTTTGCCTTGCCACGTAATTCCACTAGCTCAAAGCTGGGTAAACTTGAAAACTTCAGCATACTCTGATTTATACAACCCAGACCTTTTTGTAAATTACAGCGTGAGTAATAATAGTCTTTCCTCCTTATTGGCTGCAGGAATGTCCCAGGGAAATTTACCTAGTCAGAATCCTGGTCTCTCTGCTTACCATTCCTTTTGTTTTGGCTCCTCTTACTCATTTTTCTAATGCTCCCAAGTATTCCATGGAATAAATTATATGTGGATGGATACATAATGTTGTAAACCTTGTGCCTGTAATCTAAATTTGAGACTTCAGAAATTATATGCCTTTTCTCTGTTATACTTTCTACCCGTAACATTGCATCCATTATATCATGCTATTACACACAAAAAAGTAAATATTTTGTGTCATATAATTATGTAATAATCTCTCACACTTAGTTTCTTATTTAGAACTAAGGATTCCCTCACATTTAATCACCCTGTTTCAAATATGCATGCAAGCCCAAATGCCATACAACTGCCAAATCATTCTTGCCCTCCATCTCAGTATCTACTTTAATACTGGTAAAGCTTCTTTGGAATCCCCCTTTTGATGTCACATTCTGCCTGGCACCAGGGGGCCCTTAGTTGGGTACCTTACTTTCCCAACTTGAATTATTTGTATAACTTAGATCAAATCTTACCTGGGGGATCATATTCTCCCGATTAATTTATTATACAGTGAACATAAAATAATAAAAAAAATAAAATTGCCTCAACTTCTATTACAAGTGTTTTCATCATTCATACACATCTTGTGTTTTCATCATTCATATACATCATATGCTTTTACGTACTTGTGATTCTGGTGGAGACTAATCTTGAATTTTTTTTTTTTCCTTGAGACAGGATTTCACTGTCTCCCAGGCTGGAGTGCAATGGCATGATCTTGGCTCACTGCAACCACTGCTTTCTGGACTCAAGCGATTCTCCTGCCTCAGTCTCCTGAGCTGGGACTACAGGCACCTGCCACTGCGCCCGGCTGTTTTTTGTAGAGACGGGGTTTCACCATGTTGCTCAGGCTGGTCTCAAACTCCCGATCTCAGGTGATCTGGCCACCTCGGCCTCCCAAAATGCTGAAATTACAGGCGTGAGCCACCACCCCCCCGGCCTAATCTTGAATTCTGAGCTTAAAATTTTAATACTTTTCAGTGTAGTATGGTCTTCATATTTCTCATGTCAATGGCATCACACTATTCCATTGCCTCTCAAAGTGCTGGGATTATAGACATGAGCCACTGTGCCTGGCTTTATGGCCTTAAAACAAAATAAAAAATTCCCACAACAGTTTGCTTTCAATCCTCTCTTTCCCTTCATCAGCAAGCTTCTTTTAAGAGTACCTACCTGCTGGCTGGAGGGGTGTGGCTCATGCCTGTAATTCCAGCACTTTAGGAGGACAAGGCATGCAGATCACTTGAGGTCAGGAGTTCGAGAACCAGCCTGGTCAAAATGGTGAAACCCCATCTCTACTAAAAATACAAAAATCAGCCAGGCATGGAGGCGCACACCTGTAGTCCAAGCTGCTTGGGAGACTGAGGCATGAGAATCGCTTGAACCTGGGAGGGAGAGGTTGCAGTGAACCAATATCACATCGCTGCACTCCAGCCTAGGCGAAAGAGTACCTACTGGTTTTACTTCTGGGTTTTGTTTGGTTTGTTCATTTTTTTGAGATGGTCTCACTTTGTTGCCCAGGCTGGAGTGCAGTAGCACCACCAGGGCTCACTGCTGCCTGGACCTCCTGGGCTCAAGTGATCCTCCTGCCTGAGTCCCCTAAGTAGCTGGGACTACAGGTGCATGCCACCATACCCGAATCTTTTTTTTTTTTTTTTTTTTAATTAGTCAAGACGAGGTCTCGCTATGTTGCCCAGGCTGGTCATGAACAACTGAGCTCAAGTGATCCTGCTGCCTCGGCTTCCCAAAGTGCTGGGATTACAGACGTGAGCTACCGTGGTCAGCCTTGGTTTTACTTCTTTAAATAAAAAGAACTTCACACCTCAACTATCTACCACCTGACTCTTATTCCCATCACCCCACCTCTGAATTATTGTTTTGGGGCTTAATCTTACTTTTCTTACCCATTTGGCACTGTTTACTACTTCCTTTTTCTGTCAGCTCTGTTAGCCTCTGGCTTTTGAGACCAGACCAGTTACTCAGCTCTTTGATCTCTCTCCTGGACTCCTCTAACTCTGCTTTCTAAATAATCTGCATTTCTTAGGATTCTGCTCTTTTCTCTCCCCATTCCCTGAATAGTTATAGGATAATTTGTTTAACTGATAGCTCCAATTCAGAGTTCTTTTCTGAGAGCCAGACCTGTATTTCCAGTTGCATATTGGTCATTTTTACCTTGCTGATTCAGATGCCTCAGAGACTCATGTTCAAACCTGAACTGATAGTCTAGCTCCTCAGACTTTCCTTCATCTGTGTTTTGTATCATGTTTACAATGGACTTTCTCCACATGTCAGTCTACATTAACTCTTCTTGTCTCCTTTCACACTGTTGCTCCTGGCTACTTCTTCTTTCCTTCTCCCTTAATGGTTGTACTCATCACTTCCCATCACTTCTCAAACGATTGTAGTTTCCTCTCACTGCTCACCTCATCTCCCTTCTCTGTCTCCTCTTGGTTATTGTATTTACCACATCTGTTGTGATTGTGAATCTTCACTTCTAGACCTTTAACTCTGCAGGCTGATACTATGTGGTGTTATCATTTAAGTCCCATGCCTAGCAAGGTGTTTGGGAACCAGTGAGAAACAAATGATTAACAGGATCATTTGGGAAGCTTTCCCCAATACCAGGTTAGACTAGGTCACAGTAGGTTAGATGTTTGTGTTGTGAGCCTCTTTAGCAATCTCAGTTTTTTCTATTAAAAC